AATTAAAAAAATCAATAAAATACATTAAAAAAAAAGAAAAAAAAACACACACACACACAAAACAAAAGTCTTGTCATAATGCTCCCTACCCCAACTATTAACTCTGCATAGTTTTAGATTTAAAAAATAGGTATAATATGATAAATTTAGAGTTATTGCATCTAAGGATACAGGAAGGAAACAGCATTTTTGAGGTTCACTTTAAATGCAACATTTGGCCGAAACCGGTTTGGCTCAGTGGATAGAGCGTCGGTCTGTGGACTGAAAGGTCCCAGGTTCGATTCCGGTCAAGAGCATGTACCTGGGTTGCGGGCACATCCCCAGTAGGAGGTGTGCAGGAGGCAGCTGATCGATGTTTCTCTCTCATCGATGTTTCTAACTCTCTATCTCTCTCCCTTCCTCTCTGTAAAAAATCAATTAAATATATTTAAAAAAAAATTAAATGCAACATTTGAAATTTAATATTTCCCCAGTGAAAATGACAGCGGACTCTTTTTTCCCCTTGACATTTAAAATTTTTTTATTTTGGTTGTTGAAAGTATTACAGGTATCCCTCCTTTTTTTCTCCCATTGACCCCTTCCCCTTGATACTTTCATGACTGTCATGTAAGAGCACATTTTGACTTTTTTTTTTTTAATATATTTTATTGATTCTTTACAGAAAGGAAGGGAGAGAGATAGAGAGCTAGAAACATTGATGAGAGAGAAACATCAATCAGCTGCCTCCCACACATCTCCCACTGGGGATGCGCCAGCAACCCAGGTACATGCCCCTGACCAGAATCGAACCCGGGACCCCTCAGTCCGCAGGCCGACGCTCCATCCACCGAGCCAAACTGGTTTCGGCCACATTTTGACTTTTTAAAAGGTACTGTTTTTCTTAATGTAAATCCCCACATCATAATTAAAATAGCAGGAAGGCCCTGACCAGTGTGGCTCAGTTGGTTGGGTGTCGTTCCGGGCACCAAAAGGTTGCTGGTTTGATTGCTGGTCAGGGCTCATGCCCAGGTTGTGGGCTCAATCCCTGGTGGGAGGTATGCTGGAGGCAGCCCATCCATGTTTTGCTCTCACATCAATGTTTCCCTCTTCTCTCTCTCTCTCTCTCTCTCTCTCTCTCTCTCTCTCTCTCTCACGCATACACACAGAAAAGGAGCAAAGCCAACACTTGTGTATCCCACACCTAAGGGTGAATGAGACGAGGTGCATTACAGGAGCTGCCTTTACATTTAAAGATTTATTTATCCACTCATGCATAAACAAAATAGTTAACTTCTGCTCTTAAGAACTGGGTGGTATAATATTCTTGCTTCTAGTCCTAGGATTTTCCTTTCCATGCAGCACTGCATTTTCTGGAACAGTTCATTGATGGGCAAAATGACACTTTCATTCTTGTAATGAGGCACCATTAACTGGAAGCCTTTTGTAAGGGTGTAATTTCAAACTTCATTACAGACTAAGGCAGTCACGCCACCATTACTCAGGAAAATGTGCTTCTGTTGTGACTCTTCAATGAGCCTTACATTTTTAATGCACCGCCTTCGAATATTTATGAAGCAGTGTCGCCAGTAGAGGGCATCTGTCTTTTAAACACTTGGGTCACAAGGATAGTCACTGCCAGGGTTTCACTGCCCTTGCTTTAGACTTTTAGAAGAGTTACAGGTACATGCCATAGCCTGAAATTTCTTCCGATGCAGTTCTTATCAGTAGCAAGATACAGGGACTCTGGGCTCATGTTTCAGGAGCTTTCATTTTCTTCATCAAAGTAAGAGCTTAGTACCGTGATGGCGAACCTATGACACGCATGTCAGAGGTGACACGCGAACTCTTTTTTTTTTTGGTTGATTTTTCTTTGTTAAATGGCAGTTAAATATATAAAATAAATGTCAAAAATATGTCTTTGTTTTACCATGGTTGCAAAGATCAAAAAATTTCTATATGTGACACGGCACCAGAGTTAAACTAGGGTTTTTCAAAATGCTGACATGTTGAGCTCAAAAGGTTCGCCATCGCCCTAACTGATTTGGCTCAGTGGATAGAGCGTCGGCCTGCGGACTGAAAGGTCCCAGGTTCGATTCTGGTCAAGGGCATGTACCTTGGCTGTGGGCATATCCCCAGTAGGAGGTGTGTAGGAGGCAGCTGATCGATGTTTCTCTCATTGATGTTTCTAACTCTCTATCCCACTCCCATCCTCTCTGTAAAAAATCAATAAAATACATTTAAAAAAAAAAAAAAAAGGTTCGCCATCACTGGCTGAGTATGAAGGTAGCCAGTTAAATTCTACAATAAAGAATGCACAATAAAATGATAGATAGATAGATAGATAGATAGGTAGATAGATAGATAGATAGAAGAATGCACATACGCTCGTTGTGCTTCCTTTTAAATGTCTATTCTCTGGGAAAAATCTGTTTGCCAAAGTCTGGCCTCAGCCTTGCTCGTAAGGCTTGACCTCTCAGAAGTAAAAATGCTGATTTCCTGATAAGACAAACACGCACATTGTGAAATTTAGTCCTGCCCATGACTACGCAGCCATCCTGTTCAGCATGGAAGCTCTGGCGGATTAGGAGTTAGGAGGCCTGGGTTTCATGTCTTTCCCTGGGCACTGTGAGGTGTGGGTGCCTGGGGGAAAGGAGATACCTCCTTGCCAGCCGCTACTTCCCCACTGACTGTCTTGTTGTAACTGAATCCCTCAGTCCAGCTCTGCGCCCCCATCAGACTGTCACAGAATTCATAAGATGGTTTGAGGTGTAGGTTCTGGCTGTGAAAAATACATGTATGTATGAGTATATATAAGCACACACATATAAAAGCAGATAGCATTTTCAAATTGGAGTGTTTCAAACAATGGTTAATAATTATGCCCTCAAGCAGTTTACCTACTCTTATTTTTCTTCAAATACTTGTAACGTTGAGATCCATAGCAGTATATGTTGGATTTTAATTTCCTCTGTTCATGCCATGAGAGAAGGAATCTATGAAACATACCATGACTGTATCCTGTTAATTTTCAAATAGCCTGTTAGAATGGAAAGCTTTAGCAAGGAAATATATACAGTTCAAGGGTTTGAAGTGTGTTACAGATAATTTTTCACTTAACGCAATTCCTCTTTAATCTAGAGAGATTTAAACAGTTTCTACCTCAGAAGGTACTCTTGTTTTTTTTACTTGAATTTGCCTTACATTGTCGCTAAGTTATATGTGAAATGAATATTTTCTATCTACCTACTGATATGCATTTATAAGCAAATCTAAGTATCCATACCACAGCCTATATTAAGTGCTGTCACAGGGCAACCAGAAGACATCTGTTTAGCGAGAGAAGTGACTCCAAACTTACCTGTTCACTTCATTTTGGTTTTGAAGCACTTATGCTCATCCAATCCCAGTACTGGGTTGATTTCCTTGCAATTTGGTGCTTCTCTCCCACACCCTGGGAGTCTCAGTGTGTGAAATGAACACACCGGAACAGTTTCCTGAGGATTTACATAAATTAAAAGTTAAATATTCAAATAACAGGTGTTTAATTTTTGCAAGGAATACTCATGGCTTCACAGCGTTGCAGTGCATCCCAGACAGTATTTACACATTAATTAAGCACTTGCTTTAATTATGCACTCACTTAACTTCACTCCTACAACACCTCACCTTGTTACCAAAAAGACGATACAGTGAACATCCAGAACTTCTTCAGTGTGGTCCATGGGTGGGTTTTGTTAGGTCCAGGTGGTACCTTAACACACAGAATTGCTTGCCATTACTTAAAATCGGAAGAGTTCACTTTAAACATTCAGATTTGTGGATTATCTTTTTAAAAATAAAAAGTCTGGTATCATTGTCCTGTGATCTCGCATGGCGGGTGCCTATGCTCCCCAATTACCTCTGCTTCTGATTTGCTCTGGATTTCCTGGTCCCTCATTTACATATCCTGCTTGGCCCCTGCCCTGGCCACCTTGAGTGTTCACACCTCTTGGGCCTGTGAGCAGCCATAGCCCCAATGCTCTGTGCCTGCCCAGCAGCTAATGCACGATGCCACCACATTTAACTTTGTTACACTTCAAGTTTTCTGTCTTAAACAATCAGAATTATATCTGGGAATTATTGACCATGAAAACTTTGACAATTAGTATGATTTTTTTGAAGAGCATTTTAACATACAATTTATTGCTGCTTTGGTTAGCACATTTTCAAAAATGATTTTCTCTCATGATTTAAGATTGTCTCTATAGCAGACGCCACTCTTTAGTCAAAACTTGAATATGTTATATGTCAAATGGGTACTAGACTTATGGGGGGATCACTTCGTAAGTTATATAAATGTCTAACCACTCTGCTGTACACCTGAAACTAATAAATACTGAATGTCAACTGTAGTAGCAAAGTAAATTTAAAAAAATCTTAAATATGTTTTTGTTTGACACACCGTTTTCTAAGAAAATGTTAAGACAAAGGTAGAAGTCTGAATATCACTAATACATGTGTATGTAAAAATATTATGCTATATTCATAAGCATAAATATAAATACAAGTACATACATATTATATATTATAATATTTATACAGAAATACATATATACTTATGTGTTAATCCATTCAACACATTCTTAGCTTTGAGTTAATGATAATGAAATTGCTTCTTAAATAACTTCATTTTTCTTAATCACTTTTAAGTAACTTGATAATTTCTTTTTTTTTAAAATATTTTATTGATTTTTCACAGAGAAGAAGGGAGAGGAATAGAGAGTCAGAAACATCGATGAGAGAGATCGATCAGCTGCCTCCTGCACGCCCCCCACCGGGGATGTGCCCGCAACCAAGGTACATGCCCTTGACCGGAATCAAACCCGGGACCTTTCAGTCCCCAGGCCGACGCTCTATCCACCGAGCCAAACCGGATCGGCGATAATTTCTTAATATCACTTAAAAGCTGGTTTAGGATGAACCAAAAAACAAAGCACCACATGTGTGGACATTAACTTTAGATGAATGGTCTTGCTTTTCAGAATACGGCAGGAGAACGACATGGTTGATTCGGCGCCTCAGTGGGAAGCTGTATTAAGGAGACAAAAGGAAAAAAACCAGGCGGACCCCAACAACAGGCGATCCAGACACAGATCGCGCTCGTACGTGGACTCTTTCTATACCTTGATTAAAAACGCTGAGCTTGAAGTAGCGTGTGGCTTCTAGGGCAAAGGGGGCTGTCTCTTTCAAGCCTTCTGAAGTGATTTAGTTCAACCTTGATGATCCCGTTGTTTATTTTTCATATTGACCGCCCTATATTTGTGACATTCATTAACTATATCTGAAGCTGTAGAAGTTGGAGCAAAGCCAACCCAAAGTATCATAAAAAGACAAGGCCAACAAAGTTGTGTTTTGTTTTTAAACAAAAGCATATATTCAACTGAATAAACAAGAACAGTCTCTTTTGTTCCAGAGCCCGTCTGTTGGTGGAATACCTGCTGCTTCTCTCAATTGGAGTCTGCAGAATTCTCCAAAGTCTTGTTCCAGGTTGAACGAGATGTGAATATCTTCCCATCAAATTACCATTTGTGAGCAGCAGTCAGGGAGTGATTCATTACACCCCAGTGTTGGAATTTGCCTGCTTCTTCTGTTGCTAGGCAATGCCATGCGTGAGCACAATTACCCCATTACGATGAGATTGCCAGACCCCCCCCCCTCCCCATTAATTTTCTTTTGAGCTGGTGAAGTTTATGTATTTGTTATGAATGTGTATATTGTCCAGATGTAGACTCTCCAGCACCCCTACCTTTGTGACCCTAGGTAGTTAGGTGTGTGGTGTTGCTTACTAGAGGAAGGAGGGATTAGAATCTCGGGGTGGTGGAGGGTGTTGGGGAGTGGATTTGGACACAGACTGTGTAGGTAGGTGGGAGCTCTGAGGAAGCCAGGCAGAAGGGTTCCAGCTCAGGTTAACAGAGGCTGGGGAGGACTCTGCAGGGCACACCCCAGAACCCTGCGTGACTCCAAGGGATGGTTCTCAGTCTTAGATGCTTGCTTTTTACCCAGAATGTATTTTTTTTTATCTGTAGTACCTCAGAAGGAGTGATGTCTGTTTCTTTTGTAATAGGAAATTTGCAAGAACACTAAGCAGTGCTATAGTAGGTCTTCACTTAATATCATTAATGTGGCTATCAGCAAAAACCAGTTTTATCACAAGCTAATTAATATTAAGCCTTAAGTTCCTACAGCACCTCATCAACATTATAAGGAAAGGATGTTATTCAAGGACCTGCTGTACACTCTTATAGATTTATTCATTATGCCATGTTTTTGTTCTGAAACCTAATTAAAATGTTCAATTTAAAGCAGAAGTTAATAAAAAGCTACCTTTGTCCTGGATACCATCTCTTTGCAACTCCATTAAAAAAGAGAGGTTTAGATGTGGATGAATCAAGACCTCACTGAAGATAGTCTAACAAAAGGCACAGAAACCCCAGAGCAAGACTCAGCATAGTCCCGGGTAAACCTTTTGTAACCATGCTTTTTACCTGTCTGTGCAGGAACTTCTTCTGTGAGGGACTTATAATACACAAGGTTTGGTGACTTTATATTAAATCTTAAAACAACATTTAGTTTTCTAATCATTTCTAAAGAACTCTAAATTCAATTAAATATAAATAGTAAATCTCATGTAATAAAGGAAATAGGAAAATAAAATTAGGAAAAATTCTATAGATAGATTTTTAAGAAGTCAAAATCCATTACTAGAAGCAATACTAAATAAATGAACAATCTATTTATAAATACAATTGATAAGCAGAACTATCCATTATTGTTGAGTATTATAGTTACTTTAATCCAATTGTATTATTGGGCAAATATTTGTAGATGGGCCTGGTAATTTAATAATTTCAATGGAGTGACCTGAAATTTATTTAACAGCGTAAGGAATACACATTTTTTTTTTTAACTGAGGGTCATTTGAAGTGAAAATTACATACAATGAAATGCTGTCATCTTAAGTGTACAATTCAATGAATTTTGACAAATATTTCCATAGTGAATCCATCTTATCAATCAAAATATAGAATTAAAAAGTTCTCTCGTGTTCCTTCTAGCAGTCCCCATGCTCCATAGGCGACCACTATTCTGATTTCTATCACCATAGACTAGTGTTTCTCTCTTATTGAACTTCATATAAATGTAATTATACAATATATGCTCTTTTAAAATCTGCCCTTTTTCACTCAGTGTTTTTGCATGTTGTGTGCTTATTTAAAATTTCTAAGCACTAGTCCCTTATATGAATATACCACGATTTGTTTAGCCATTCTCCTCTTGATAGACATTTGGATTGTTTCCAGTTTTTGCTATTGTGTTAAAAGCTGTTATGGACAATGTGTTAAAAGCTGCTATAGACATTCCTTACAAGTGTATCTGTGGAGTGTGTTTTATTTTACCTTGGATAAATACCTGGGAGTGGAATTTCTGGGTTAGAGTATATTTGCATATTTAATTTTATAAGATTTGAATTCCAGAAAGTTTGTATCATTTTATACCCCCATTGGCAATGTATGAGAGTTCTAGTTCTGACCTATTTGCCAATAGTTGGTTTTGCTCTGTCTTAATTGTAGCTTGTCTAGTAGGTTCGAAGTGGATCACATTGCAGTTTTAATTAGCATTTTTCTGATGCCTAATGATGTCAACCACATTTTCCTGTGCTTGTTGGTTATTCATAATTTTTTAAAAAATATTTTTATTGATTTCAGAGAGGAAAGGAGAGTGAGAGAGAGATAGAAGCATCAATGAAAGAGAATAATTGATTGGCTGCCTCCTGCATGCCCCCTACTGGGGATAAAGCCTGCAACCTAGGCACATTCTCTTGACCGGAATAGAACTTGGACCCTTCAGTCCACACGCTGACGCTCTAACCACTGAGAAAACTGGCTAGGGCCATAAATTTTTGCCCATTTTTAATTATGGCGTATGATTTTTTTAATTATTTATTTTTAAGTTTTTTTATATATCGTGGATATATGTATTAGTCTTGAGTACTTTCTCCTGGCTGTGGTTTGCTTTTTCATGTTCTTAACCTTGGGATTTTTTGTTGTTGTTTACTGTACTCATTTTTTTTTCAGGTTTCAGCTGATCATTCATTTATTTACTTATTTTCCCATTCAACACAATTTTGCATTAGTTTCAGGTGTCCAGCACAGCAGATAGATATTCATATAAGTTACCAGGTTTGCTCAGATAATTCAAGTGCCCACCTGGTACCATAGTCATTACAATATTGTTAAATGTATTCCTATGCTTTACCTTACATCCTCATGCCTATTTTGCAACTAACAATATGTACTTAATCCCATCACCTTATTTTACCCCTTTTTTATGATAAGCATAAATTTTAAATTTTGATGAAGAACACTATCATTTTTTAAATTTCTAGTTAAGGCATTTTGCATCTTAAGGAATATTTGCCTATACTGCAGTTACAGATATATTTTCATATCTTTTTCTAGCAGCTTTATATATTTTGTTCTTATATCTAGGTATATGATTCATCTAGAATTAAATTTTCTGTATGTATGAGGTAGAGGTAGATATTTAGAAGTTTTTCCAATGTGTTTATCTGGTTATTTCAGTCTCATTCACTGAAATGCCTTAGGGCATTAGTTGAAAATCAACTTGATTGCTTATATATGGGCCAATTTTGTTTCATTGATCTCTTTGTCTATCTCTAAGCCACTACATGTCTTGGTTACTGTAGCTTTACAATAAGACTAGAATCAGGTAGTGTAAATTCTCCAACTTTGTCCATGTTTTCAAGGTTCTTTTAGCTATTTTAGATCCTGCAGTTCTATGTAAATTTTGAATCAATTTACTAGTTTTCATCCAGAAAAAGACAATAGATTGTAGATTAGGATTATGTTGAATCTATAGATTAGTTTTGAGAAAATTAATGTTTTACCATCCATTTATTTGTCTTTAACTTCTCTCAGCAATGTTTCATAGTTTTCAATACAGTTATTGCACTTATTTTGTTAAATTTAATTCTAAATATCCAATAGTTTTAATGGTATTGAATTGTACATTTAAATTTTTTATTTACCAATTATCTGTTAGTATATACACTGAGTGGCCAGATTATTATGACCGGCCAGATTGTTATGATCACCCCATCAGTACAATGAAGTGAATTAGTTATGCAAATAATAATAATAATAATAATAATAATAAAACCTTGAGAGTATTTGCTTAGGAAGTTTTCAATATTCAGTATTTTTGGAAGTGTCAATGAAGTACTGATGGAGTGTTCATAATAATCTGGCCACTCAGTGTAGAAACAGGCTTATGCTGTCTGTTGCCCAATGTCTGAAAAACAATTGCTTTGTACATTTTGTTTTATTTTATAGTTTTTGAGGATGGGGGGGCTCATTTGATAACAGTTACTCCTTTGGGACCTGAAGTTCAGGAAAACTCTTTTTTTTTTTTTTAAATACATTTTATTGATTTTTTACAGAGAGGAAGGGAGAGAGATAGAGAGTTAGAAACATCAGTGAGAGAGAAACTGATCAGCTGCCTCCTGCACACCTCCTACGGGGGATGTGCCTGCAACCAAGGTACATGCCCTTGACCAGAATCAAACCTGGGACCCTTCAGTCCGCAGGCCGACGCTCTATCCACTGAGCCAAACCGGTTTTGGCTAGGAAAACTCTTATCTTTAAATTGGGTATTACTTCTATCAGAGCAACTGAAATCAGAAAAGAATCTAATGGTACCTTAAATTTAAAGTCTTATTTAAACTTTCCTTTTAATCTTATCTACATAATAAAAATATCAGATCAGAGGGGGGATTTTCTCAGACAGTGTGAATTATTAGAAGAACTCCTTTAAGAGTTGGATGTGTACCATTCTGGAATTTAGTTTTAAAGCAAATAATAAAAGGACTTAGCAAATGTTGGGATGACTTTGTAACTGAACTTGATTGATTACATAGCTGATATGGCCAAAGTGCATTTAAAAATAAGTATATATTTAAGTGCTGGGAAAATAATCTATTTGAAGAATGATTCATTCATGCTGCTCTGGCTGCTTGGTAAAACGCAGGTTGGAAAAGAAAGGAAGCGGGAAGAGTAATTAGAAAAGTTTGAAGTGGTCTACG